GAAAGAGTGGTCTTGAAAGCTAAAAATAGTTGCTGAAAACTGATGCAATCATCTAATAAAATATGGCACAATAACTTATATGATATGCTCACAGTATCTGCTAAAGCAATTAGAATCCATGCAGCTAGATTTCTGTTCATGTATTACTAAAAATGAAAAGTATTTCAGCCCAAGTAAGAATATAAGCTATGTGGTTTAATTGTATACACATTGGTCTTAAGATTTTTGGTCTTATTACTTGCATATGTGATCTGTTTAACACTCTTTAAAACAGAAAATCATTGAGTAGCAATCAGATTTCAAAAAGTCTTCCAAGTACAGCCAGACAGTTGTCTACGTGATATGCTACGTATGACAGCAGAGAATGTACAATTATATTAACACAGACTTCTTTTCCAAGGGGTCAGTATTTTCACACATCTAATAGGTCTCGTGCACAAGATAACAGAAGCAGCAATATTGGTGTCTCTCAATCACATTAAGTTCATCAGATGTATTAAAAGAGTAGCCCTTTTTAACTGAGAATTTTTATACATATTATATATGTTTTTAACATCTTTATTGGAGTATAATTGCTTTACAATGGTGTGTTAGTTTCTGCTTTATAACAAAGTGAATCAGCTATATGTATACACATATCCCCATCTCTCCCCCCTCTTGCGTCTCCCTCCCAGCCTCCCTATCCCACCCCTCTAGGTGGACACAAAGCTCCGAGCTGATCTCCCTGTGCTATGCGGCTGCTTCCCACTAGCTAGCTATTTTCCATTTGGTAGTGTATATATGTCCATGCCACTCTCTCTCTTCCTCCCAGCTTACCCTTCCCCCTCCCCATGTCCTCAAGTCCATTCTCTACGGCTGCGTCTTTATTCCTGTCCTGCCCCTAGGTGCTTCAGAACCATTTTTTTGTTTTGTTTTTTTATTTCATATATATGTGTTAGCATATGGTGTTTGTTTTTCTCTTTCTGACTTACTTCACTCTGTATGACAGTCTTTAGGTCCATCCACCTCACTACAAATAACTCAATTTTGTTTCTTTTTATGGCTGAGTAATATTCCATTGTATATACGTGCCACATTTTCTTTATCCATTCATCTGTCGATGGACGCTTAGGTTGCTTCCTATACATATTATATTTAATGTTTTTTTTTTTTTTTTGGTCAGAAAAGCTTTTGAACTGGACTGTGGTCTAGCTATAGAAATAAACAATTTTCAGTGCATTTTGGGAGTCCAAAGTATTTACATATTTTTAAACATATGTCTTAATTTCTACTGATGAATATATAGGCAGGCATTTCCACTGTAGCTTGAGAGATATTAATCAGTATAGGAAAGAATGATCTTATTTTGGTAACTATAAACAATGAAAAAATAAATTGATATTTTTTTTTGCAGTACGCGGGCCTCTCACTGTTGTGGCCTCTCCCCTTGCGGAGCACAGGCTCAGCGGCCATGGCCCACGGGCCCAGCCGCTGCGCGGCATGTGGGATCTTCCCGGACCCGGGGCACGAACCCGCGTCCCCTGCATCAGCAGGCGGACGCTCAACCACTGCGCCACCAGGGAAGCCCTAAATTGATATTTTTGAGGGCATACTAAGTATTGTTTTATATACCTTATTGCAGTAAATATTCCCAATCAACCCTATGAGATTTTCCTGTCCTCCTCTTACAGATGACTGAGCTTCAGAAGGGTTTAGGGATTGCCTGAGGCCCAGATAGTAAAAGGCACAGCCAGGGATAATATCCATTTCTGTCTGATTTCAACAGCCTTAGACTCCATTACTATGTGTAACAGGTATGAATTTTACACTACAAACATTTCTATGTAAGAAATATCTTTTACTTCCCTATTCAGAAAGCAAATTATATTTATTCCAGGCCCCATATCACTAGGCTGGAAAGGAAATTCAATCTTTTACCCTTCAGTAGAATCCTATAAGAATGTAGAATAATTACACTGTAGAAACCCAGAAATGTGGGTAAGAGTTCCATTTAAAGGAAAAAAGAGAGAAAGGAAAAAGGAGGCCAGCTTTGAACACATTACCTGACACCATGACAAAGGATAGTTTTTCATCCTCTCTTAAACTGTAACTGACATGCTTAAGCTCTCTTCCTATGAAGTTTAATCCTTTACCTTGTAAATCAAATGTTAAACACGAGGTTTCAAGTACTTTTCATATACCTTGGTATTGTCCTACTAACGTGGATACATGATCCCAGACACCAAGTGTCTCACACCTTGATGGATAGCTCCTCTATCTTTGTCAGTATTGTAAAATGTCTTATGAGGACAAGAAATTTATACTAATATTCATAACAATATTTTCAGCCACACCACCACTTCTCCTTGATGCTTCCTCTAACCTGTGAGGACTAATCACATAGACAGATTTTAATATTTTCTATCATTGTGTCAGTAGAGTGTATATCATCTACTGAGCATATTTATTTTGGATTGTTTCCTAATTTTTATCTAAATATTTCTTAAGATTTCTTCTATGCTTCTTAGTATATGGCAATAAATTTCATATTATAATTTTAATATTCAAGTGTCTATGACAAATATGTATTTGTAAATAAGTTTATAATTTGGTGACTTATGTAACTGTTTTTAAGTAATATTTCTTACAAGTTCTGGTAGGAAAGTTTACAACAATGGTAACAACTTGTGTTAAATTTTCATATTCTTGTAGCAGTATTAATAGAATAAAAATAGTGTCTGTTTTTTATTTTGCTGCTTTAAAAATACTTTATTTCAGTTCTTTAATCCTCACAATAAACATTTGAGATTAAATATCCTTATCAACATTAACTTTTAGAAACCGAAGGCTCAGAGATATTAATTGGCCACCAAAGAACCAGAGCTAATCATTGACCCAACTGGGCCTGACTCCTGACTCACTGCCCTTCCTAGTACAACTTAGCACAATTCTGAGAAACCCCGTAAATTTTTCACAGTGTAAATTTTAGAATTCAGCTAAAGAACCATCACTGCTAGGGGATAGCTATGTACCAAGTACAGAATCAGTGCAAGGAAACAGGAGACTTGCTAATTCTTACTTACAGTAGTAAAGATGGAGAACATTTTTGGTTTGCTTCCTTTTTCACTCTTCTTCCCTAACTCAAATGAATTTTAAGAGTTATAATTTGAAACTCTGCCATTAGCTCCATCAGAGATATTAAGTGTTAAATAAAGTGACCCATATTGGCCATAAAATGAACACCATTTACTCTCCTAAGAATATAGAAAATACTTTTATGTGAATAGTAGAGAAATTGCCAAAAAAGGTATTTTATTTCAGTCTGTGAACAAGCTAATGTGCTACTGGAAAATGCATACACATTCTGACCTAATTAATTTCCAGAGCACTTGGTTCTGAGAAGAATGCCCAGAAATACCCCAGTTTACTCCACTGTCATATAGAAGCCTCACATTCTGAGGACAGTGTCTTAGGCATGAGTTAGTTATCTCCTTATTAAGGATTTTGTTGCAGTGCTTTCTGGCATACTTTCTACCATAGTCATATGTTCACTTAAGTTTCTGGGTGCTTGAGCCTCAACTGAGCAGACTTCCCTGTGATAAAAATGTGTCACCTCTGTGCTTGTTGTCCTAAGGACACTATCTCCAGGCACACCCATCCTAATAAACAGTTTGATATTTCCCACTTAGAGAAATTGATAAGGATAGTTTCAGGTACCTTCCACCTTCCAAGGTGAGTAATTTTAAAATGCTTGAGGAGCTTGTAAGCATCAAAGTCGTAGGAATGACAGAGTGGAGGACGTGACTGCTATGACTGTTTCCTTCTGGAAAGTACATGCAGAAAAGTGAGATAGCCTATCTTCTTGCAGACATCTAATATAGTGAGTTGTTATTTTTTCTCTGTGTGAAGGAAGTAAAGGAGTTATTTGTTTAAATTTAACATTCTTTCAAGAGCCATTAGGGTAGCTCTTAGCATAGCTATGTGATACAATGATCACTCATCATAGCGTGCTTCTCCTTTAGAGTTCACTTATACACTATTACTTGCAGCATGCTAAATGCTACTAAAAATCACCAAGCTAAATTGATATTTGTCTAGTAATAGCTACGTTTTATCCCCCTTAAGTTATTCTGTCATCTTTAAAGTTTACACAAATAGTAATATACCTTGATAGTGCAGAAGAATACTCAATCTCTCTCTGATTAACTGGCATGTTAAAAATACTTTCTATTATAAATAAATTGAATTCTTCTTTTTCTTTTCTACAGGACAACATTTTTAAGCTGGAAGACTCACATTTTGAAAATGGCCGTGGGAAGAGTCCATATGACCCTAAACTGCTGACGGCATCTCTTTTAATAGGTACTCAGTCAACAGTCAGCTAAACAGTGAATTTTCTATAGATAATAGCCAGATTGCATGTTCCTTGTTATATACCAAGATTTTTCATTATTAATCATAAAATATTTTAGGAGTATGTCAATTGAGATATTTTCAAATATTTTGAAAATGAAGAAGAAACACTAAATGCTGATTTGATTATTGTACTATCTAGTCTATGATTCTTTTTAATCAGAATGGTTTAATAGTTTCTTTAAAATTGGCTGCTCTGGGCTTCCCTGGTGGCGCAGTGGTTGAGAGCCCGCCTGCCGATGCAGGGGACACGGGTTCATGCCCCGGTCCGGGAAGATCCCACGTGCCGCGGAGCGGCTGGGCCCGTGAGCCGTGGCCGCTGAGCCTGCGCGTCCGGAGCCTGTGCTCCGCAACGGGAGAGGCCACAGCAGTGAGAGGCCCGCGTACCGCAAAAAAAAAAAAAAAAAAAAAAAAATTGGCTGCTCAATCACTATACATCCCCCTAGACCTTTACAAGTTTTGTTTTGTAAAAATATGGTTTTGATTTTCATTTTTTGGGAAGAGGCGTTTCAAGGGGGAATTTTGACAGGTCAGAAGGAAAGAATGAGATTCACTCCAGGTTGTTAATTGTAGTCTCAAGATTTGTCACACTCTCAGCATTTGGTCAGCTTAATCAGCACAATCCAACTAAATAGTAGTACAATAGACAGAGACCCCTTGTGTCACCTTGAGTTGACAAAGTCCTTCTGTATTCATCTTTTCTGACTTTAGGGCTTCTTCTTCTTCTTTTTTTAATCTAAGAAAACATTTTATGTATTTCCTGTGCCCTTTTCTTTAGCCATCTTCCTTTCTAGTTTTCTTCTTTCTTTTTTTACTTCAACATTGCAGATAGGTGGTGAATGCTTAGCCATAGTTCAAAAGGATAGAAAGAGGAAGATAGAAGTAGGCAGAAGGAGAAAACTTTAGTTTGTATTGAAAAATAGAGAATTCTTCACATTCTTTTTTTTGTGGTATGCGGGCCTCTCACTGTTTTGGCCTCTCCCGTTGCGGAGCACAGGCTCTGGACGCTCAGGCTCAGCGGCCATGGCTCACGCTCCGTGGCATGTGGGATCTTCCTGTACCAGGGCACAAACCCGTGTCCCCTGCATCTGCAGGCGGACTCTCAACCACTGCGCCACCAGGGAAGCCCCTCCACATTCTTTGAACCACTTCTGGACTGGGATTAAATAATACACAAAAAGTGATATATCATTAAACAATTTTTCTTTTTCTTTTTTTGTTTTCTTGTTTTAACTTTTGAGTATGCCAACAACCTAAAGTACAGAAGATTCTGGGTCATTACCTTACTCCTGAATATATGTTTTTATATAATCATGTAGAAATTATGTAGCTCTTTGTTTCCTTTTCTTTTTCCTTTTGTTTTCTTTTTTATAAAATATAGAAAGTAATTATTTGATAACACAAGAATAATAAGTGAAACTTTTCAGGCGTAAACTTTCTAATAAAATCCTGAATAATCTAGATTTTTAAAAGGTAAATTTAGACTATTATTTGACATATAATAATTGCATAAAGTTTAGCCTTTTTATTTTAAAAATAGTCTTTTTTTTATTCAACAAACTAAGACTCTAGTCATACTGACTACAGTATGAAAATATATTTTTTCCAGTATTCTCTAGTGTTTATCGCTGTTTCACTGATCCTTTTACTATTAAGAATAAAACCATTACAGCATGAATTACCTCCTCTATTGCTTTGAAAATGTAGACAATTTCAGTCCATTTGATCCATTTATGGAGCACTTTAACAAAACTTTAAGACCTGAAGGAATGCAGCAAATGTAACACACTTATAATTTTCCTATTCGCACATGGCCTAGTGATTACGTGTAGATGACTTACTTAAGTGCACACACAGATACTTGAAACTGTCTTAAACAAAGGGGAGGAGTCCTATCTTGTGTGAACCTGCAGGCTATACTTATTTAAATTGCATACTGAACAAAAAAAGATAGATATTCCTAAAAAAAGCAGTATGTAAAAGTGTGCCTAGAGCAGCTTTATTTTGTGGTATGTTTCTCAGTAGGGGTTTGCTTATTTATTTTAATATTCCACTGAGAAAGAATGATGATAACTAAGTACTACATAGTTCATATGGCGTGCAGCCACACAACGTCCACAAAGAATATGAAACGCTGCAGTTTTGGTTTTATATTAGAACTTCCTTGAAACAGTTGTATAGGTTTGTGAAAAGGAAAAGAGAATGAGGGAAGTTGCATGAGTCAAGGAGAGGATGTATGGCTAGAAAAGAACGGTAGGTATTTCAGAGAAACAGCTTTTAAATGAAAGCCCAGATCTCACCTAGCCAGTACTATAATTGAATAATTTCCAGAGATATTTAGTGCTTATTGACAGAGGAGATTATTAAAGCCAACTTAAGTTAATTTCTGGATCAGTTGAATAGCAAGATACAGAAAAATAAGCAGGCCATACTAGACCTGGTAAAATCCCTCAGAATATTTGTAGCACCATTTTAATTCAAAAGCTGTGACTTCCTTTATTGAGGTTACTTGCTTCTTTATAACTATGCTATAATTCTGCCATGCATCAGGAAAGAACATAATTTGACATTAGAATATGCTCTCACCTGGTATTAAAGGTACTCCCCAAATTAATTAACTATAATTGAGAAATTATTGGAACCTCTCTGAGCCTCAGTTTCTGTGTATGTAAAATGGCATGGCTATGCAAATTCCACTAGTTTGTTGTGAGAATTAAATAAGACAATGTAATAGCATACTACATTTGGGTACATACATATTTCTGGCATATATTTGGAAGTAGAAACTGAAAAAAGAGGAACAGGTAATAGTGGTTTTCTGTAGGGAGGCTTGGAGAAAGATTTGGTAATGTATAAATTTTACATTTTTCATTTTGTATCATTTACAACTACTTAAAAAATGTTAGTTTTAAAAGTACAGTATTAACAAAGCCAGTATATTTATTGTTACAGAAAAAGTTGCTTAACAAATGTGAAAATGTAAAAGTATTCCCATACCCTTCCACTCTCAAGAAGTAGCTTTCATCCATGCCATGTCGGGTGTGTGTGTGTGTGTTTGAGAGACATATTTTTTTCCCTCTGTTTCTAATTACTCTGCTACGCTGTGAGTGGAATTTGCTTAAGGTGTTAACAACATAATGGCTTGGTCTTTAGGTTTGTTTGATTTCTGTTCACATCCATGATACACTTTACACCTGTGTTAGTAATGCTGTGATTTCATCAGGAAAGTTTTTTTTTTTTCCACCTTCTGTTTCTTCTCACCACACCCTTTTTAGGAATTGTAATCCAATACATTAACTGATCTAAGCCACATTTTTACTTCATTTTGAGCTGTGAACAGAAAGTACAGAGTACGTATGAACTTTTGTTTTTAACACATGCTTCTCAGGTAACGCTGCCATGGTGGAAATGCAGTTCACTAAACTTTTTGTTCGTCTCAGTAAAGAATGCTTTCCTTAGAGACAGTTGAGAAAGCTTACAGTTCAGAAAGAATGGCACTGTACTCAAATATGAAAGAGCAACTTTCATATTTGACAATTTCTAGCTTGTTAATCTGTCAGCACTAATTTATCTCAGTCTGATGTATTATTTTTGAGACATCAAACTGCCTATATGGTATTTTTTAGAAAGACTTAACAACTTTGTTGGACAGAGTATCCACAACCACTTTTTGATGTGTATAACAATTCCTTGAGTATATTATTCTACCATCAATTTAATAAAATTGGACAGATATATTTTCTTTCACTAGTAACTTAGTATATATGGGAAAACCCAAAAGTATGTATCTTAGCCATAATGCAATTTGAATCATTGTAAGCTAACATTTACTTATACTTAGGGTCATAAAATTGGAAAATTAACACGCATAATTTGATAACTTCATAAATGACCTCGAACATACAAAAGAAGTTTGGAAAGTGGGCTTTTTTAAAAAAATAAAAAAATATATTTGTTCTCCAAATATAAGCCAACTAAAGTATGTAAATTGCTTAAACACAGATATATATATATATATATTTTTTTTTTAATAAATTTCTTTTATTTATTTATTTCTGGCTGTGTTGGGTCTTCGTTGCTGTGCGCGGGCTTTCTCTAGTCACGGCGAGTGGGGGCTACTCTTCGTTGCGGTGCGTGGGCTTCTCATTGCAGTGGCTTCTCTTGTTGTGGAGCACGGGCTCTAGGCGTGCGGGCTTCAGTAGTTGTGGCACATGGTCTCAATAGTTGTGGCTCGCAGGCTCAGTATTTGTGGTGCACGGGCTTAGTTGCTCTGTGGCATGTGGGATCTTCCCAGACCAGGGCTCGAACCTGTGTCCTTTGCAGTGGCAGGAGGATTCTTAACCATTGTTCCACCAGGGAAGCCCTAAACTCAGAAATTGTCAGATCATTTCAGTTAGCCAAAGAATGTAGTGAGTCTTTAATACAGGGTAGAATACACAATTACATTAAATGAAGTATAGTCTGAGTTGATATTATATATCTGCTTAAAGAGAATGCAAGAGTAGGATATTCTACCACCTATACAGTTGGGCCAAATAAAAAACATGTCATACAATTTCTGGAGGAGTCATCCTGGATAAGAATCCTACAGATATCTGAGCAGAAAATCTGATCTAAGGCCTGGTGGAAAGGAACAGTTAGTGATATTGAGCTTTGACAACACGAGAATGTGCCCTCATGCCCACCTAACCATCTAGTGCCCTCCAGCTCATAGATCTCATGTTGACTCTTGCTAAAAATAATATTTGAGTAGGAGGTAATTTCCTATGATTGGAGGCAACTGGTGCCTTAACTACAACCTTCCTTTGGTTTCTAAGTCATCTCTTTATAAATTCTGTCTTTAGTAATAAATTCAGTCACTAGCTCTTCTACTGATGAACTCTTCTAACCTTTCCACATTCTCTGAGTGACCTACTTATCTGCTGTCAAAAGAGAAAGAAAATCAGTGTTTCTGCCTTTGCCTTCATTTATATTGTTTTCTGCCTTCCTCATGTGGGAATGGATCAAAAAAGAGTCATAAGTTATAAAACAGCTAAACAAATGAATATAAGAAACTAATACCTGTCAATATCCAAATAATGTTTATTTGGTTACAGTTTTCGTTATTTCAGCTCTGTCTGGAATAGAGTTTACATATAATAGCAACTGTAATTATGAATTTTACTCACACTGAAAAAGCTAAATGAAAAAAACAATTAACTGATGATATTCTTTACTCTTCCATTTCTGATTATACTTACCGTTAGGCATGGTCTGGCTACAGTCTGATATGAAATTGCTCAGTTTTCACCTTTCGGTTGTTCTGTTTTCACCTTTCATGATTTTCATCACCTAACGTGGTTGAGGGGGCAATGAGGTTCAACTAGTAATTTAATACTTTTGATTTTTCAAGGTAAAGAGGATATAGGTCACCCTATGACAGACAGGTGTTCCAACATGAAAGTATTTGAAATTGACATGAAACTTTTAGGCTGCTTTCACAACATGTTTTTAACTAACATTCTCTCATTCACCTGAAGTTTAAAAATTCATCACTTCTATCAATCAATTATTTGTAAAAAGATAAGGTGTCAACCTTAATAAAAATGTTACAGTGATTGAATATAGGTTGAAATTAAGTAGACCATATGCATTAAAATGTTTCAAAGTACCTTTGAAACGTATAGATAGCTTGTTCATAGTGTTTTTGTGCCTCTCGAAAAGGGTTATTTCTTTACCTTGTGGGAATATAGAACAGTATTGTAGCATATTATGGTGAGAGCAACTCAGATTTGAGCAACTTGATATTTAATTAAGTAAAGAGAAGACAAGATGCTTTTGAATCCCAAAGATACCATAATATGGCAATTTATGGTGTCATATGAGTACCATCCATTTAGCTAGTAATTTGTACTTAATACATTGTCAAACCATCACTTTTATTTGTCTTGATTCACAACGATTCAAAATAAGTGATCAGTTTTTAAAAACTCAGTCTTTAAGATAAGGTGTCTTTCTATTAATATTTAAAGTTATAACTTGGTGTTTCTCAGTGATTCTGTCTATGTAGCTATTCTGCACTGCTTTGGAAGTTTTCCAAAGCCTGGTACCTTCAAACACATCAGAGAACCAGAGGTTCTACCAGAGGAATTAATTTAGTTTGGACCACAGAAAAGGTCTATTTTTGTTTCAAAGCCCTTTATTTGCAAGTGAGAATTGTGGGTGTGAACAAAGATATCACATAAAAGATCAGACTAATTAGACTTTGCCAAAGATATTGATAACTGAAGATGCACAGAAAGTTTCTGATTGATACACAAGAAAGTCCTTTGGGAATTATAGTGGTATACAGATGTTTTAAGTTATAATTTATGTATGCCTACTTTGTTTTCTGAGTATTTTTCGAGTCAATGAATTCAGAAACATTAGCGTAGCCAAATAATCAACAAGATAATAGGTTTTACTGTCATTATGGTAGATTATTTGGAGAAAATGTTACATTTATTTTTGTTTTGCTGATAATTCACTGTAAGCAAGCAGGCAATAATGCATTTTCTGGATGGAATAATATGAGGCGCTTTTTGTTTAAAGGAAAGAAAATGTCATTTTTACAAACTTCAGTTTATTGAACGGTGGTATGGTGTATATTTAGTATAAGAGGCTTGGGTTAAACAAGCCTGGGTTTGAACTTTCACCTTGACTTGCCTAGTCATTAGCTGAGCAACCTTGGGTTTCTTGAGCTGTAAAATAGGGATAACATTTACGTCATGGGGTTGTTGACAGAATAAATGAGATAATTTGAAAGTGTCAAGCCAGCACCTGACTACCCTGCAAGCACAAATGGTATTCAGTAAATATTAACTTCTCTTTCTCCTTATTTCTTTTTCCTTTCTATTCCAACCTTCTGATTATGATTCTCCCATTATTAAACTCTGACCTAGAGTTAATTCACCTTAAGTAGAAATGCGTCAAAGCACAACAGAATCTTGAGCTGTAGTGATTATGGCCTGTGTTTATCAAAATACCCCCTTCTTCAAACACATTTCTGTTATATCTGAAACTATGTGGTGGACTTGTTTTTAGATTGTATGATAGCTCATAGCAAGTTAGAACATTTTTCCCACTTAATATAGTAAAAAATGAAAGGCAAGAAAAATTTTTGGCAAGGAAAATATTAGTCTTCTCTAAATTATAGCAAAATCTCATTAATTTAGATCCCACTAAAAAGGAAGTATATTAGAAATTTAATTTCCATTAAAATCAAAACTATAAGCAAGATTTTGCAATGAGACTTTACCCTAAAAACTAAAGATATTAGAACCATAGTAGTTTGAAAGATATAAAAGCAGACAATGTGATGCATATAATTTGTGTTTTGTACTTTGTCTTTGGTCATAATAGAAAATATAAAAGTTCATGTTTGGGCTTCCCTGGTGGCGCAGTGGTTGAGAGTCTGCCTGCCGATGCAGGAGACACGGGTTCGTGCCCCGGTCCGGGAAGATCCTACATGCTGTGGAGCGGCTGGGCCCGTGAGCCATGGTCGCTGAGCCTGCGCATCCGGAGCCTGTGCTCCGCAACGGGAGAGGCCACAACAGTGAGAGGCCCGCGTACCACAAAAAAAAAGAAAAAGTTCATGTTTTAGTAATGTGCACTGAATCATACTTTACTCAGTTTTTCAAAGTTAGTGCTAAATGAGTAGTGAGATACTCCCTTCAACAAAGACACAGGATAAACATAAGTAGCTTTGCATAATGATGCAGAGAGCATTAGCGTGGTCTTAACATGAAACCTGTATTTTGTGTGTTTTGTTTCTCTTGCCTCAACTGAATTAAAGTATGTGTATATGGTTTTATTTTGTCACAACACAGATGGAGAATTATACTCTGGAACGGCAGCTGATTTTATGGGGCGAGACTTTGCTATCTTCCGAACTCTTGGGCACCACCACCCAATCAGGACAGAGCAGCACGATTCCAGGTGGCTCAATGGTAGGTGGCGCGTGCCAGAATGCAGGCACAAAACACGGGCATCTATAGTAAGTCAGAGGAGAGCTTTCCTTATACGGTACAAACAGCATGAGTTGAAATTTAGTGTGCAGATAAACTCATGGTGGTGACTTCATGGCTGTGTGTGTGAGAAAGTGGGGCAAAAAGAGAAAAGAGAGATTAAAAATTTAAGAAAATATTTGCTTTGTGCCAAAACTAAAGTTTCTCAGTAGTTAACTATGGAAAGAAATAGACCTGGGCTGGAGCTACGGAAGGGAGGCAATGGAAAAAGATAAGATGACTTACCAGTCTTGTCTTCCAGGGACACCACAACAAATCTCATGATGTAGTATTTTTTTTCCTCCACACCTCTCATGTGGCCTTGAGAGCATAAGCTATTAAATGTTTGAAAAAATTGTTGTGCTAAAAGCATTACATTGAAAGTGTTTTTGAAAGGACTTTGTATCATTTCATTTGATTCTCCTTTAATCTTCCTAAAATTCTTTCTCCTGTTTTATAAGTTGGGAAATTAACATTAATATTACATCTAACCCAATAGTAGATTTGGGGCAAGAACCCAGTTTCCTGACCTTTAGTCACTAGTGTCATACTTGATGAAGCAGATACTTTTTAAAAAAATTTATTTTATTGAAATACAGTTGATTTACAATGTTGTTTTAATTTCTACTGTACAGCAAACTGTTTCAATTATACATACATACATACACACACACACACACACACACACATATATATATATATATTCTTTTTCATATTCTTTTCCATTATGGTTTATCACAGGATATTGAGCATAGTTCCCTGTGCTATGCAGTAGCACTTTGTTGCTTATCCATTCAATATATTATAGTTTGCAAGGCAGATACTTTTTAAATTCTCTTTTTCTTTTTAATATATAAATAAATTTACCATAGAAGAAAATTATAAAATTTATATGCCAAAAATAAATAAATACTATTTTCATTCAGATTTTGAACGAAATAATCCTTATATAAGTATTCCATGTAGAGGTGGGGTTTTTTTGGATTATTCATTTATGCATTCATCAAAGATTTTTTTATAATCGTCCCCACCATATTTTCCTGGTTATTTTTTATTATTAAATAATGATCTCCATTTATATCTGCCTTCAGTCCTATAAAATAAAGCTTCCCAGTCCCTAATCTTGCATTCATGAACTCTCCTTTGGTTTTACATGCCTCATTAATAAGGATGAAGCTCATGGCTTACAGTCCATCTATGTACTCAGTAAGATGCTTGATTATCTCACTCTTTGAAGTTCTGCCACACTTGCTTCTCCTGAACTTCTGGCGGGTACCCAAGATTCATTTCACCTCTGTCTTTCACTGGTTTGTTAGAGAACAATCACAATATGCTCTAAAACCTCGCTGAAATTTCAGGAGACCATGAGCTGTGTGTCTTCGTTCTTCTATATCCCAATTCTAAGATGACCATTTAAATCATAAAACATACCTCAAATTACCTCAATCAGCATTTCATTCCTCCTGTAACAACATTTCTGATTGTCCTGTTATTTTTCACGTATTAGTGAAAATGATGTGCCCCTTAACTTCCACCTTTGACCCTGCTGCTTTTGCTCTTAATTGCATTGATTTTTTTTTCATAAATTTACCCAATTTACTGTTTTTGCTGTTTTTATCTCTTCTTCACCACTGATTTCTTCCCTGACCTGCAAACATGTTTGTCTACCTTATCCATACTCTCCCTTTAATCATGGTGTACCACAAGGTCCCTAGATGTCTAAGTCCATAGCCTGGTTAGGAACTTGTTTTCTCAGCATTTTCACCAGATTTAGCCATTTTAAACCTGACTTTGATCCCATGAAACTGCTCCTCCACTTATGACTTCCTATGTTTTTTTTTTTTTATCAGTCTCCATTTAGACAACCTCTCCTGTGGTATTTGTCACTTAACTGGCCCTTTCTCTTTAAAAGGGTCTGTTCTCTCAGTTTCCTGCATTTCCTGCTCTCCAATTTGCTCATAAGTTTGACATTACTTCCCAGTTGCTGTTCTTTAAATGCAGATGATGCCTAAAATAATTCATGATTGAGTACAAACACTGTGGTAATCAAAAGGGGCTGGACATATAGTCAAATACCCATCTCTGGGGGTAGAGGAGGTAGAATGGTGCCCAGGTGACCATCTGAGAAATTAGAAGCCTCACTAAGGAAAAGAAAAATGCTGAGCTGAGATCACGGTAAGGCTGTGTAAAGCCGTTGAAGACCCAAACTCTAAAATCCCAGAGGACAGTTTTGGAATATCCACTGTTAATTATTAAACCTAGGCTTTGTATGGACTCAAAATTAGTAGGAAAAAACCTCTTTCAATCTGGTCTACTCTCAAACGGAAATATTTATGTAGAAGGGGAAAATGTTTGTTTTTTTGTTCAGCAAGAATGAGACTTTGATCTACTAAGAACTCTAAAGGACATACAGGCTTTCACTGTCCATGAGAAAGAAAATCTCATTAGAAGATGGAATAACATAAAGGAGAGTATAGTATCCATTTCATTTTCATGGCCTTGGAGGAAAAAAGTCATCAAGTTAAAGCTGCTTTTGTGCTGCGCACTCACATGTTGACAGCTGAGTCTGAATAATTTACACTGTGGGAAAACAGTCATTGTCCGCAGCTCTGTACTTCATCTCTGCAAATGTGTAGTTCATTTGAGAATTCAGTTATCAGTCTCTCAGCACTAAACGTGAGAACTGATTTTGCCAAATTAGCACAAAGGTTACATTTGACAGGGTGCAGAAACCAGAACTGCGGCAAGGTGGAGGATGCAGACACATACGAGATAGAACCAAGGGACTGTGTGATTCACAAGCCTCATGAAATTAAACACCACTGAAGAACAAAATTGGAAACATAATGTTTACACATGCATGTATGAAATAAGTGAATTTTGAGGCATCAGCATAGACTACACAATCAGTTGTGCTGCCAGAAGTAATAAATTACTTTGCAAGGTACTTTTTGAAAGGTCTCCTGGGCTATTGAAATTAATTTTGGCACAGGAGTTACTTTATTTTTATCAAATCAATTCAAACCAATTCAGTTATTTTGGAAGAATTAGTTGGCCTATTTCAGATGACTTTTAATTTGTGTTCTTGCTAAACAAAAAATAAAAAACAAAACTGTTGTGTAGAATTGGATCTTGAAATGTCTTAATTTTTATGGAATTTCACTATTTTCATAATTACTCACTAAAGTTTACATTTTTATAATAGTAGCAATAAAGGCTTAAGTTCATTTTCATTTTACCAGGAAACATTAGGAATTAAGTAACAAACTTTTAGATGAAGAAACATGAGAGATGGAATCTATTGGTTTTTTCCATAACTGCTTTTTAAAAATCACCCTTTACACTAGCCCCTAGTTTAAGATTGCTAGATGTTAGAACAACTTTTGATTCCAGAAAATGTACTGGTATGAGTTTGACCTGTTGTGCCAAAATTCGCTGTTTTTTTCTTTTTGCTTCATAAATTCTCTTGATATTATATAGCTTTAAACTTCAATTCTAATTTTGGTTTACTGACAGTGTAAAAATTAGGTAAAATTTCTCTCTGTATATTCATAGTAAAAAACCAAGTTTACCCTGCTTTATAGTAATGATTTCTTATCATTTATTGTGTAAGTATCACCTAGTTCTTGTACATATTAGTCATTCATTAGAGCAGATGGATAGCTAACCCACATTTATTTTTCTGTTTGATGGACACTATTTCTAACATTGTTTATTTATGTCTTGGACTAACATTGGAATGCTATATGATAGAAGGAAAGACTATAGTCTTTAGAGTGAGACACTGTTTTACCTTGACCTTGTACCTATTCATGGGTTTATAATAGTACCTACCTCTTAGAGTCGTGAAAAAATCGACTACATGATAATACATATAGAGTACTAAGCAAGTGATTGGCATGTAGTAAGCACTTAATGTGAGTTTTTTCTGTATCCTTTATCCCACTTCCATTGGGTGGAGCATGCTTAGTAAGCTTTGTCAGACTCATTCTGTGAGTGATTATATTTGAGTCAGGGTGAAAGGGCAGTCAGAGCTGGGTTTAATACATGAAACCACATGGATCCTTGAGAGAGCCAAGGCCCAGTGCACACAAACAGACCTAATTACAGTGCCCAGAGTGTCAGACCTTCCTGCTCATTTTAGGAAGACCTGTTTTCTTTTAGTGGAATTTCCTAAAAGGATTGTGCCTGTGGATAGACCAACTCACTTGCTTTTTTTCCTGTAATTGAAATGGTATGCGAGTCATCATTCCACTTCCTCTCACTTGTAACACTCATACCAGGATGGCTTGCCCTTATTGGAATCAGCATAGCTTCCTCTGTGGTCATGCACTAGGATATTTCATGTTCTCTAAAGCTTCAAATTTCTCCACAAGATATATTTTTTTTGAAAATAGAACCAAGAAATGTAACCGCAAATAAATTCTGAGAGCACAAATTAATACTGCATGGTACCAGATACCTAATCTTAAATCACTTGTATAACTCTTTTGATATACTATTTTAATTCTACCATCTTTAAAGGCATGAACTGTATCAGAATATATAACTGGAGTTTTTTAATAAATAAAATTAATCATGTAGTTTGGCATAATGTCAGACTTATTAATGATGCCATTTTGAACTATTTCTGTGACTTAAGTTAGTAATATTTTGCTGACCTTGAGGAAAAACAGCCCTCTGGAAGCCTTACTCTATGGTTACATGAGCAGATGAGTATTATAGATGTTGAGTGACCATTCAGTTGAACCAACAAGAGCAGCCACAAACATCCTCTGTGAAAGAAGCAACAAAGATAGAGTCTTTTTTAACTTTTTAATTATATATTCTATGAATTACATTCTGTATTAATTAGTTAACACTTCTGAAGTATCAGTGTGTAGAGTCACAAATAAAAATGTTAGTATTTTTGGTTATTTTTGGTGAAATCATGCTGAAACATG